TTTCTAATGACCTCTGTGAAATCAAAGATCAATTTGCTTACAAACTTTAAAATTTATTTCTCTTTCAAAATGAAGAAAGAAAAAAATAGTCAATGCAAAGAGTGCTAGCTCACACAAATAACCAGAATGAAGTAATCTATTTAATGAAGCATGTGGCTAAATTAACGAGTGGTGGTAGAGATGGCGGTTGTAAATATGGAGAAAGACTGTTAGCGCCACAAATGTTACAGCCTTTGCAGATTTTGTAGAACCCATTCTCAGCTGTGACAAATCAAAGATCGAAATAAAGAGGATATGTAAACAAATTAATAAATATTGGCGGGAGAGGCGGGGGGGGGGGGTAAATTGGAAATATCCAAAATTTTAAGGTAACATGTGTAAAGTAGAGTAACTTGACCATTGTTGCATCTCAAGCTTTCTCTCTGCGAAGGAAACGACGGGAAGACTCAAGACGACTGCCACGGAAAATTGCAAGCACCGGCCACCACGAGCTATTGTCACGATGATAGGTCTGAGTGTGATGATTGGAATATACGGTTGACCTCGATACCGAGAATGAACAATCTTGGATTGAACTTGGATGTGGATCAAAGAAAATCTAACGCTTCTTCAGATCTAGTCAATTGTCTCCTCTGCCGAGAATTTCGTATCTTCTCCCCCGCTAATTTCGTGTTTCCTCCGCCGTGAATTTCACCAGAGGTTGAATATTTTCTAATCATATTTGGTTCTTGTCCATGACCATCTCCCAAAGCTTCGTATTTTTCAGTCAAACTAGCAGTGGCGGAGCCAGACGAAAGTTTTATCGGAGGCAATACAAAATTTATCTTCAGTTTATAAGGGGAATAGGATGAAAATTCACCACTAAAATCATATAATTCTCAAATACGCAATGAAAAAATAATTATTTCAGCATTTCATAGGGGACAGTTACCCCCCCTACTTCCTATTAAGAAAGATCTGAGATGGTTGATAGATACAAAAATTTGGTGATAGATTGAGATGGTTGTTGAATCCACCTTTGATCTTCGTTTTCTTCTCATAGCTTTTCTTTTTATTAATTTTCTGAGAAACAACAGTTAACATAGATACAACAACATAAGATGAATTAGAAGGGAAGAGGTTAGCATACAAATTTTTTGGAAAATATATTAGAGTTAGGAGAGAGATTGAGGTAGTTGTAGGTATCTATACTATTAAAAGTGAAGGCTCCCTTGAAAAATCGATTGATGGAAGTTGTGTGCACCCTTATTAATGGTATTTTGGTAATTTGTTTTTTGGTCTTACATCTATATATATATATATATATATATATATATATATATATATCAATTGTTACAAATCATATCACATATTAAATATACCCAATTTATTTTCTCTCTTCCCATTAATTACTCTAACCATATTCCATACTATATTTCATACATTTATATTGTCTTATAAACTTTATACTACGGTTTTAATCTATAGATTGACTACATAAATATTTGTTATAATATAAATTAATTCTATGGTGTTCAGATGCTCTCATACTTATAAATGTTTACATATTTATAAAATAAATTGTAATTTTAAATCATAATATATAATTCAATATACTGTATAATACAATCAACAAAAATAATATTGTTTTTATCAAATAAAAATATACTAAACTATATTTTAATATGGTAATTTAGATATTATATTAAATATAATATTTTATTCTTTTAATATATATTTTAATATTTTGCATTAATAAATTGAAGTATGTTGTAAACTCTATGAATATATGTTGTCATGAATATGCAATTCTTTTAATTTATAGTTTATAAAATAATTTTAATTAAGTTATTATATATATATATATTATTTATTGTAGTAATTTAATTATGAATATGAATAATGTATTTATAAATATTATAGTAATGGTATTTCTTATTTAATAAATCCAAATGAATTAAAATTAATTGTCATAATATTTAAAAGTACATTCTATCATTTATAATAAATATTAAAACAATAAATATTTATATTTTACTGAAAAAAATATTAAAAATATTGTCAAAATGCAATATTAGAAAAGATCTTGGTAATATCTTTGATATCTGATTTTGAAAATATTTAAATAATATATTAAGATTTTTATTGAATAATAACTAAATTTGTTATATGCAAGATAATTTCAAATATTTTCGTATTAACTTTTCTTCATATGTCGTTATATCATCATTCTCATGGTGACATTTAATGGATGAGATACGTTTTGTTAAGAAAATATTGCAAAAACTATTTTCTGTAATTATCTTCGTACTAAAATAAATGAATTGCTTCATCTACAAGTTTATAAATTAACCACAATCAATATCGTGGTTAGTTATTCTTTGTTTGGTTTCCACAAATTTCGGTAACTTACCGTAGTTGTATTATCATTAACTGTTAAACTTTAAACTTCTTAACTAATTCAAAATATCTTCAAGAAATATTCCTTATTCCTCGAAAGAAATATTTTTAAAAATCGTCTAAATATTCTTTTCTACATTTGCGTAACCTAAATGTATATCGTCCCTACCTATTATAAATATAACCTCTTTTAACCACTATATTCATCATTCATTGAAAAACTTAAAACAAAAATGGCGAATAATTTGCAGTTGTCGTGATATAAAACCGAGGAAGACTACATGTCGCATCCAAGTCAAAATCTTTCATACATGGAGAAATTTCATGAAATACATAGGGGAGACCATGGAACTAATTCTTTGTGATGCAAATGTAAGTTTATCGTTTTGTATAGATTTATGATTTAGATATCTTCATTTTGTAAAAGTGTAACCTAAATGATAATGGTTTCTAAGCGCGGGTCAAAACCTAAATGATAATATTCTTCCCTATATTTATGGAACAATTCTTCTATTCTTAAAACTATATTATTTTGAATCATAAATGTTAATAATTTTCTTATTGGTCAGTTTTCTCCCATTTTTATAACTTATCTCCATTGTTGTGTATCTATCTAACACGAGTATATTTTTATCTAGATGTTATTGGACAAGTTCAAGACTTGGGTGATCTGGAAACCATAGGGTGTAGTGGTGGGAAACAAAATAATAAGTTGGAGTTCAGTCTCGTGGAAACCATAAAAAAATTTTTATGGTTAATAGTATAAAGTTAGTCTCCTACCTATTATAAATTTCTCAAGCGCGGGTCAAAACAAAATTGCCGAAACATAAATAAACTATATAATTCGATTAACATATTTATTGGATTTAACTACAAATTTGTAATACAATTTTGGGTATTTTTAATAATATTGATTTTCAAGTTTATTATAGGTCATGGAACCATCCAATTTTGGTTTCAATCTAATATCTGTTCAACCACAAACTGACTCGGTTATGCAAACTAAATGAAAAGACCCTACTAAAACGTTAAATATACATCAAATTTCGCATATAAAACTATCATATAATAAAAATCAGATCATTTTATACATTTTGTTACAACCAAAACAAAACCCACGCTTCTCACCATAGAGAACTTAAAACAAAAATGGAGAAATTATTTTTTTGTTTATATAGGGAACTAAGATCCATGCCTCATGAGACATACATTCCTAAATTGGCAAAACATATTCGTGTTGGAGTTCGTGGACATTTCGTAAGTTTTATATATTTAATATAAAATATATAAGCCTATAAACATATTGATTTATAACTTGATATGCAATTCTATTAGTGGTCAGAGATAAGTTTGCTGTCTTTGGGGTAAATTATATTTGCTGAGAATCTTCATATAGCTAGCCAAGAAACAAAAGGTATGGTGATATGTTTTCTATGATTTGCTAAGATTGGTCAATAAAGAGGCATTCCTTGAAAATAAAAACTTATGATTCGATTTTGTACTAAATGACCATTGTTTATATAGTTGGAAATATGTTTCTACTAACTCAATGTTTTGATCATTCCTTCATTTTTTATGTTTTATGTTAGAAGAAATAACTCAAATTCTTATGATTTATTTTTGGTTATAGGTGAGGTCCAAATCTCAAATACTTATGATGTAAGTAGGGCTGGGAATCTGAGTCATCACCCACGGATCCCGCCCCGTTTAACCCCCTGCAGGCGGGTGCATGTTGAATAATTTGAAAAAAATTGATTGGCGGGTGCGGGTTATGAGTATTTTATGTAGGGGGGGCGCAGTTTGGTGGATTTTGAATCGCGGGTACTCACCAACCAGCAATTTTTTTTATTTCTTTTCAATAGTATTGATTTTTCAAATTTACTATGGGTCATGGACCTATTCAGTTTTGGTTTCAATTTAATATGTATTTTAATTCTTTATACTCTCAGAACATTAAATTTTCTGATTCTCGGTTCAACCAAAAACTGACTCGGTTATGCAAAACTTAATGAAAATACCCTATTAAAAGGTTAAATATATATCAAATTTCACATATAAAACTATCATATAATAGCAATCGAATCATTTGATACATTTTGTTACAATCAAAACAAAACCCGCGCTTCTCAAGTGCGGGTCAAAATCTAATAATTAGTTAAGATACAAGTTATATGAGAATAAATGTATAGTTAGCTCAAGATAAGGGTAGAAGAGACAAACAATATGTAAAATGTGTCTCTCAAGTACAATATGCCTCTAATAATAATTGAAAAGATAAAATGTGTTCTAAATGTAAATTTCTCAAATTTGAGATGGGGATAATATTTTTTTCAAAAGAGAAGACAATTGTGTATTAAAGAGGAACTCACTCTTTATTAATTAACCAGCAGGTCCCAGTAGGGCCTAGCACGTTTTTGACCATGAACGACGATCCATTAGAAGCGATGCCGTTTCATACCAAAGCTGGTATTGCCATTGTGAGGCACATGGACTTTTACTACATTTAAGTTATCAAAATCTTGTGTGTTTTGGCCCAGCCCATCTACCTGTATCCTCGCGGCAGCAAATCTCTCTCTCTCTCTCTCTCATCTGGTGTTTGTTGTTCTCTCGATCGAAGGAGGATGCCGGCAGTTTCGAGGAGATTAGTCCAACGGCCCCTCAGCGGAGGAACTTCTATCTATTCATCGTCTTCTCTCAAACCGCTCTCCGATCAATGCCGTTAAGTTTCTGCCATTCAAAAAAAGAAAAAGAAAAAAAAGTTTCTGCCATTCGCATTTCTATTTTATAGAGGTTGCTTAAAGAGATAATAATAATAATAATAATGGTTTTGTGATTCAGTGAATGGAAGTGATAATCGTAGTCGATACTCGTCTTCCCTTGCTACAAAGGGAGTGGGACACCTCGCTCGTAAGGGTACTGGTGGCAGATCTTCCGTCAGGTATCTCATTTCATTTGGAATTAATTGCCTTTATAGAGAAATGTATTATCTTTTTAGCAGTTTTGCTGAAGAAGAAATGTTATTGATGTGTGCAAGGATAATGCAAGCTTACACTTTACATCTTTGTGTAGTGCTGAGCTCTAAAAGACAGCTTTTCATTTGGGTTTAATTGCCTTTATAGAGAAATGTATTATCTTTTTAGCAGCTTTAGTATAATGGAAATCTTGATTTCTCCTTTGCATTGGCAGTGGCATTGTAGCTACAGTATTTGGAGCCACTGGGTTTCTTGGTCGTTATCTTGTGCAGCAGCTTGGTGAGTTTGGTTTAACATTCCTACAACCCACCCGGGTCTTGTACTTCCTTTACATTTTTTTTTTGGCTTTCTAGATACTTTCAAAATAAAAATCTTTTTTTTTTTCAGCTAAAATGGGATCACAAGTGCTAGTTCCTTTCCGAGGCTCAGAGGACAATCCTCGACATCTCAAGTTGATGGGAGATTTAGGACAGGTAATTTGTTTTTTTTTTAGGGTATGTCACAAACACACATTTGTGTGGAATGCTATGCTTTGGATCTAAAAACTTTTGATGTGTGCTGACTGTATATACCAGGTAGTACCGATGAAATTTGATCCAAGAGATGAAGACTCGATTAAGGCTGTCATGGCAAAGGCTAATGTCGTTATCAATCTTATTGGTACTTACGTTTTCTATTTTATTAATTATCTTAAAAAAAACAACACTCTTCTTTTAATTTGTGGATGATATATAATATAATTCTATCCTCAGGAAGAGAGTACGAGACCAGAAATTTCAGCTTTGAAGAGGTCAATCATCACATGGCTGAGAAACTTGCATTGGTATGTGTTCGAATCCTGATTGACTATCTCCTGAAACTCTGCTTGAAGAGGTTTCCATTTCCTAACTCCTGATATTGTTGTGCGCTTCTGAAATGAGCTAAACATCTTTAACCTTCGGGATGATACGATCTGCAGTGTCGTGCTCTTTTATTTATGCCTAATTATGTTGGGACATGGTGGATTTGTTGTTTCAGGTGGCCAAGGAACATGGTGGGATAATGAGATTTATTCAAGTTTCTTGTCTTGGAGCTTCTTTGTCATCTCCTTCAAGAATGCAGAGGGCAAAAGCTGCTGCTGAGAAAGCTGTCTTGAACGCGCTGCCTGAGGTAAACTTATGCCAAATTTGGCACTGAGAACTCTCTCGTCTGTAATCATCATTGTAATATGTTTGTTCATTATTGTCATTATTCTACTTATTTTCAGATATAAAGTAGATCCTTTAGATTTCTTTTTCTTTTGCTAGACTGGAAAAACAGTATATAATGTTATTATTGACCTCTAAAATCGTAAATATTGAAAGCAACAATTAACGTGGGATGGCTTACTTATGCATTTTGCCATCAGCCTTCTGCTTCTAGTCAGTTCATGATGTATGTTTGTTTCCTAGGCCACAGTCATGAGACCTGCGACCATGATTGGTACAGAGGACAGAATCTTGAACCCCTGGGCAATGTTCGTTAAAAAATATGGTTTCCTCCCGCTCATAGGTGGTGGGACCAACAAGTATGTCCTAAACGTTTGTCTAATTCTTTTCATCGGATCATAACAACTTACAGTGACCATCATCCATTTCTTTCCCTAACCATAACTTCATTGCAGATTCCAGCCCGTATATGTGGTTGATGTTGCTGCTGCAATCGTTGCAGCTCTAAAGGATGATGGCTCCAGCATGGGGAAAACCTATGAATTGGGTGGTCCAGATGTCTTTACCCCTCATGATTTGGTAAATTCATATGATCCTCCTTCCTTCTCTCTGTCACGGTGGCAGCTCAATGGGCTTGATTTTCAAGGTTTTCTTTGCAGGCAGAGATCATGTTTGATATGATTCGTGAATGGCCTCGATATGTGAAGCTTCCATTTCCAATTGCCAAGGTAACAGATCAAAAATTTCACCGTTTAGGATAGAAACTTCAATCATTTTTATGTGCATCCTTTGCCAGAGAAAGGCTATATGAAGCTAATTAGAAGTAGAACTATCGAAGCTTAGATTGTTAAGGATTCTTTGTTTAGTTTTTAAATGATACTAATTTCATTTATATGTCACAATCTGTTCTAGGCAATGGCGGGTCCTCGGGATTTCATGGTGAACAAAGTCCCGTTCCCTCTACCCTCTCCCCAGATATTCAATTTGGATCAAATCAATGCGCTTACAACCGATACTCTTGTATCTGACAAGGGTTAGTCATTTCATGACACAAAAGTGAAATGAGTTCTCTTTGCATGAGCTGTTTGAGTCTCACTCCTTTATTGTTGGACAATGGCTATTTTCAGCCTTGACGTTTCAGGATTTGGACCTTGTCCCTCATAAATTGAAGGGATATCCGGTGGAGTTTCTTATCCAATATCGCAAGGGTGGTCCTAACTTCGGTTCCACTGTCAGTGAAAAGATACCAACAGACTTCTACAATTGATGCTGCTTCTGCTCAGAGGTTGTTTTCCTGGACTAACTTTTCATACAAGTGCCACAATGAAATCGCGGAAACTAGATTTGGTATTTTCGTTCTGTCAACAATAAAAATGGTTTATCTTCTTTGGGTGTGCTGTGGAAGAAAGTACAACCCATCAACATGAACATACGTTAGAGAGGGGATATTATCTGTCTTAATGGGGCGATTTGGTTCCCTAAGTGATTATGCAGTGTCTGGCGTTTCAAACTTTATACAATACTTTGCTCTTGAGCATAACTAAAACCATGTGCTTACGTATTTGCATTCCATATAGGATATAGCTCAGAGTTGTATATTTTAACTGTGCAAAAAACGTTTCAACTTGTATGTGTCTGCAATAGAAGTACACAGTTGCATGGTAAAGAGGGTTTTATATTCCTTATCTGCTGATTATAAAGCAATATTTTGTTAGGGTGAGTAGTGAACCTAGTTATGCAAATTGTAGAATATAGCACTTTGCTTCTAGTTGTAGTAAAAAGTAAAGAACTTTTGGGAAGCCCCAAGAACCAAGCAAAGCATATAGAGCTAATATCATACTCCCAAGGAATGGGACAGACTCATTTTGAATTATCCAACAAAAAAAATGGAAGGTGAAGAAGATGATTTTCCAGGGCCTGAGTCCGGCATTGGTGGGATCAACTTGAACGGGAGAAATGTTGGGCGGTGATGGTGGCGCCAAGGGATGTAGATTTAGCAAGTCAGAGTGGTTGCAGGATCAACATATACGTGAACAGCAACGTTCAAGGGAGTTGTGGTTCGGTTATGTTGGGTAGCAAGGTTAAGCTAAGAGATCCTGGTGTTCATCTCCATATCGAAGGACTTAAAATGAACAGAGACGACGGATCTAGACAGAAGGAGATGAGATTGATAAAGGTTGGGTTATGTGTGGTCTGTCTTTTCAACGTCTTTCTCGGATTCGCTCTCTTGCTCTCCTCTTGGCTCAGAAAGAAAACCGATTCCATATAGATATCTCGAATCTACTGATGTTCATGGTAAGAAGGATCTCGTCCGTAGTTGGTTCTTATAATAGTCACTTATTCTGAAAAGTTAATATCTATAAGGGTACGAACACATATGTTGAATTACACTTTTACATTTTTCTAGGTTGAAGTTGAACCGAAGGTGGTTGAATGTTATATTCCGATCATTGCCTAGTAGTTTAGCGGGGCAAACGTGACAGAAGTCATGAGGCTAACCGATTCTAAGTTGTGACTACTTACCAATCACAATCTCAGCTACCGGATTATAACTATTTTTTAATATTGATTTAAAGAAACTAAAATCTCTCAAGTATCAGTTGCAGTCTCTTTTCTATATATACATTTACCCATCCAACCATTGGATGATTAATAAGAGGACCACAGTTTCATTTGTTTTGACTGATTTAATATCTTTCAAGAAACATTTTTTCAGTTACAAAGTTGGGCCAACATGTTAAAATATATTTCGTAAACAACCCTTACATGTCAACCAATTGTAACAAAATAACTGAAGCGTCAAAAGTTAGTGCTAGGCCATTACTACTCGCACTTGCTATGACTATTATTGTGTTCAAATTATCTTAAAATAACTCTATCAAATAATGATCGATTGCAGTACTTAAGGATTGTATCCACATAGATTTGATATTTCACATAATGTATTTTAGTTTTAGATTAAGCTACGTTAAAATATATAAAGCAATAAATAACAAGAAAATAAATAAAAGGGTTGTAAATAATGGAAGAAGGAGGCTGAACTTAGAGTTTTATTCAAGTTATCAGGACTAATCTATAGATGCTAAGATTTGATCATAGAACTCAAATGCAATAGTAAGATATTCATTTCTCGCTGCGATCTAATCAAAAGTTTAAATCCTATATTTTAGCTCTCGCATGCGATGTGGAACGAGTGACAGTCAATACCTCTTTAAACAAGTATTAACACACATATCGATATGTCCACTAAGTTATTAAACCAGCTCTCACATGCGTCTAACAACCTAGCTCAACATGATTCAGTTCAGCTAATTGACCAGCTCTCGCAAGCGCCTAACTATCCTATAATTAGGTTCTATAAATTACTCTACAAACAAGCAATTAGAAAAATCTGTGAAATATATAGTAAATCACCTTGGAAATTCTATATTTCATAAATCCATTCAAAATCATAAACCTAACAGAAAATCTACTCAGACATGATAGATGAAGATATAATCATAGAAATAATATATTTGAAATAATAAATCAATGACTATTGAGACATATGGGCTTGGCCTGCCCATTTGACTTCAAGTTGGGGCCTTGAGATCCATTACGGTTATCATCCCCCCCCCCCTCAAACTTGTGGTAAGAGGAGTTCCTACACTAAGTTTGCTACGCAAGTCAACATAGATTCTTTTCGGGAGAGACTTAGTAAAAATATAAGCTAGCTAGACTGATGAGAAGATGTGTTTTGTTTCAATCAACCCTAGAGCCACCTGTTCCCGTATGAAGTGAAAATCAGTGTCAAAATGCTTTGATCTCTTGTGTAATGATGAGTTTGTACTCATATAAACTGCAGATAGATTGCCACATATGAGCAAGGTGGCGTGTGGTTGAGGTGTACGCAGATCACACAGAAGAAGTGATATCCAACTGATCTCTTGAGTCGTAGAAGTAAGCGCTTTGTACTCGGCTTCTGTAGAGGACTTTGAGACTGTCTTCTGACGTTTGACCAATAAAGAGATGATATTAGGACCAATCAAGGTGGAGAATTCTGTTGTTGATTTTCTTGTCTCATGACACCCAGCCTAGTCACTATCGCAGTAAGCTGATAATGACATATTAGAGTCCTTTATGTGTAAACCAAGGATACCTTAGAATCTTTTTCAGAAGACCGAAGTCAGAATTGTTGGTTGATGCATCCGTTGACAGACGACATTGACTGTATATTGGATATATGGCCTTGTGATCGTGAGATACTAGAGCTTCCCAACCAATCTTATGAAGTAGGTTGGTTCTGGGAATAGAGAGGAATCAGGGGCTTCTACTCGTTGTGGTAGAGGGGTAGGCATAGGGTTGTAATCAGACATTGCAGCTTGATACAATATGTCTTTAGTATATGCTTGTTGGTGTAGAAACAAATCTTCCGCATAGGTCTCAATCTGAATGCCAAGGACGTAGTTGGGGACTCCTTGATCCTATCATAGAGAACCTCTGAGACAGAGCACCTAGCAGTTGTTGCAGAAGCACATCATCACTTCCAGTAAGTAGATTATCATCTACATACATGAGCAGTACTAGAGTCTTGTTCTGGTGACGAAATGTGAATAAGGAAGAATTGGATTTGCTGCACACAAACCCAAAATCGATCAGAAATTGACTGAACGTATTGAACCAATCCCTTGGTGCTTGTTTGCAACAGTAGATAGCCTTAGTTAATTTGCAGAAACAGTCTGTTTTTTTTTCTAATCAACAAACCCCTTAAGCTGATACATATAAACTTGTTATTGTAGCTCAGCATGTAGAAATGCACTAGTAACATCAAGTTGATGAATCTTCTTGCCTCAAGCCACTGCAGCATCCAACAAAAGCCTTATTGTTGTGGTTCTTACTACTGGGCTAAAGGTCTTTAGGTAGTCAAGCCTACTTCTTGCTCATAACCTTTAGCCACCAGTCTGGATTTGAGCTTCCTTGGAGTATCATCCGAATTGAGTTTCACTATGTGAACCCGTCTACTACTCAGAATATTCATGTCTTCTATAGCAGGAACCAACATCCAAGTGTGCAGCATATGAATGATCCCCATCTCATCAGATACTGTTTGATTCTACCATGGATGCTTCATTGCTTCTGAAATGTTTTTAGAAATCTCTGTTGAGTATTTAGGCACGGCAAACCATACCTCGTATTAGGCTTTTGTATGCCTGATTTTTCTCTAGTCCTCATAGGATGATGATTGATCACTGGTACTACAGCTATTGGTTACCAGGATCTACATCTGGCTGATCACGAGGAGGGGGTGCTTCCACTAGAATGGGGTTTGGAACAGGTAGGATTCTAGTGACTTGTTCACTCTCCATAGTGACTGACTCATAAAGAGTTGCTGAAGCCTTGAGAAGAGCTGTCTCATATCTTGGAACAAGAGTCTTGTATTGATATTTGTAAGGAAAACATTCCTCATTAAAGACAACATGTCGAGAAATATACACTTTCCCAGTTGGAGGATAGAGGCATCTATACCCTTTGTACTGGTTTCTATAGCACAAGAAGACACATTGCATAGACTTTGGTTCAAATTTGTGAGCTTCCATAGGACTCAAGCATGGATAGCAATCTGAACCAAAGACTCTGAGGGATCCATAATCCGGTTTGGACTTGTAGAGTAGCTCATACAAACTCTTGTTGTTTAAGACAATAGATGGAAGAAGGTTACTGATGTGTCTAGTCATAGAGAACACTTCTACCAGTGCTGCAGAGGAAGATGGCCTTGAAACATCATACATGAGATTCCTTGATGTATGCCATTATCCGAGAGAAATTGCTTGATATTTATCCCTATAAACTCTCCCCCCTTCATTGCTTTGAAACTTTTTAATTTTTGCAGTAAACTGCTTTTCAACAAGTGTTTTGAAATTTTTAAACACTGAATAAAACTCTCATTTATTATGAAGTGGATACAACCAAGAGTATCCATGATACTGAAAACCTTGATATGAAGCAATGGAGAAGGTCCCCAAAGATCATAATGTATTCTATCTAAGGGTTGGACACGCTACTAGTGGACACAAATAGATTTAATCTACTGTTTTTCCCATCTGGCAAGGCTCATACAAAATGTTTATTTGACTCTCGTTAACTAAGATCTCTTTGCTTGACTTCAAATGTTAAATGACTCCAGAACTTGAGTGATCAAATCTCAGATGCCAGACTTCTTCAGACGCTGCTACATTGCGATCTGAGAAGTAGGCTGAAAATTCCTGATTCTTTGACATGTACAAACCGTTACTGAAAGGACCCTTTGCTATCACTTTCTATTTTTGTAGATCAATAAGATACACACTTTAGCATCAAAGAACGCCCCACATGGAAGGTCCTCAGACAGTTTTGAAACAGACAGAAGATAATTTTTAATAGTCGAACAAACCAGAATTTTATTTAGCAATATGTTACCTGAAGCAGAGGAAATGGTAGCAGACCCCACGTGTGTGATAGGTATATAAGCCCCATTACCAGCCTTGACAGTGTCATTACCTTCATAAGGATAAGAGGTCTGAACATTTTTTGTAGAGGCTGTGATATGTGCTGACGCTCCCGAGTCTATGAACCATTCTTTTTCATCAGCTACACGCATGGAGGAGAAGGCCTGAGCAGGTTAATTATTATCAAACCTGTTGTAACACTTCAAAGCCGTATGACCAATTCTACCACAGATTTGGCAGGTGGTTCTATCTCCTTGTGGTTGGTTGTTGGTCTGATGTTGCACGAAGCCACAGCCTTTACTCGAGTAGCCTCCACGTCCTCTACTCGAGTAGCCTCCACGTCCTCTGTATGAACTCCCTCTGCCACGACCTCTGTAGTTGGAATTGTAGGACGGACCAGACGATTTTTATTCTTGTACATAGTCAACTTTTGTGTTAAGAACGACATGTGTGGAGTAAGAGAAGAATTGTCCTCATATGACTTGAGCTTAACGTCGAACCCTTGCACCTCTGAGACAACACCACTAAATGTTAGTGCATGGAACTTAGTGAGAGAGTTTTGTAGGTCCGTTGTTATCAGATAGTATTCACGGCTGAGACCATTGAGAAACCCAAAAATATTCATTGCTTCATCAATAGTTTTTCCAATAGCACTCAAGCCATCACAGAACATCTTAAACTCTCGATAATAGGTGGCCAAGCTCTTACCTTTCTTCGTCAGTAACGGAAGGCTTCGACGGAGAGAAATGAAAGCGCAATATTAGTAGTACAAAAACTAGAACACACAGTAATTCAAGAGTTGTCT